GGACAGAGCAAGACTGCCCCATAGAGTTTCCAAGGAGCATCTGGTGGATTTGAACTGCCGACCTTTTGGTTAGCAGCCAAGCTCTGAGCCACTGCACCACCAGGGCTCCACAGCATGACATAGTGCTGAAGAATTTGTGCTTTGAGGCTAAATTGCCTGGGTTTGTATCCTTGCTCTTCCACTTACCAGCTGTGTGACTTAGCCACACGACTGACCTCTCTGTGCCTCATTTTCTTCATCTGTAAAATGGGAATAATACAAAAATATCTACTCTAAAGATTGCTGTGAGAATTATACGTGCCATTACATATAAAGTGCTTACTCTACTGCTTTTCTCGTTCAAAGCCCCTCAATGTGTGTTAGCTACTATGAGCACAGAGTCACAGAATTTTAGAGCGCATAGAGTCACAGAATTTTAGAGCTGGAAATGGAACTTAGAAGGGGTTTCTCACCACTTCATTTTTCAAATGAGGAAAATGAAGCAAGACAGGTAAAGGAACTCATGTAAGACCACACAGCAGGTTAGGGGCAGAATCCAGTTTAAAATTCTCTGGCCTTTTGATTTCCATGTGATGCTGCCAACTGTACCTCATGCCCTGAACAGGTACAGTCCTGGGAAGATGCCTCAGATCAGTAAATCCTATAATGTTTTTGTTTCTTATGATTTGATTGCTATCAGTCTTGGCCCAATTTCTTTAAGAACCTGTGCTCTGAAACCTATACTTACAAATAGTGTATATATATGTGTGTATTTGGGTGGAGTGGATGCATACTTAAAGATAACATTTGCGTTTTACTCCAGAAACATTTCCATTGAAATTTAAGAGCAGCTAGCCAGACAAGTAAGGACTATAAAAGAATTCAGTACTGGATTTTCAGTTCAAACTCAATGCTAATTAATCTGCTCTTCTTGGAGAAACTAAATGGTTCAGCTTCTAGGAACTATTACTTAGAATTATATATTTTATTAATCAAATATAAATCTCACTGTCCAAACTAAACAGTCCATAATTATTAGAGCATGTCCTTTTTGTCAATTGACACTTGAAGATATTGAACAAAATTTCTTATTAAATATGTATGTATGTGGATAAGCTTGCCCACTTTCTGATTTCAAATTTTAAAATACCTACATTAATTCAGATCATAATATTTACCACCACCAGCACTGGCAACATTTTCCCTGTCACTGACATTTTATTTCTATTCTTCTATATGTGTACTGTCCCTGGCAGAACGCACAAACCTTCAAAGTGAGAGGATTGATACAAAATACACACAGATGTAATTACCTCAGGTGAAATAATGGCAGAATTAACAAATTAAGTCAGGTCAAGTGAGAATTGTAGAGATCTCCCAGTGTACCTGAAATGGTGTTTGTGACTCAGTTAGTGGTACCACTT